TCGAAATTCAATTGATTGAATGAAAACTAATTTTGATAAGGAAGAACCTTTTAATTTATTTCTTTATTGATAAAGTGTAGAGCCAACTTTTCTAAACATGCATATAAAATATGTATTTCAAGATATGTATGTACTACATACACAAAAATTCAGTTTTATTTTTATCAAAATTTCGATATTTTTGGTAATATCGATTAATTTAAATTGATATTAATATTATCAAATATATAAATCATGCATTGATCTTGCGTGAGGCTGTGAATTAACATTGATGATTGATTTTGTTAACATCGATGTTAGAACATTGACTTTTTGCTTTCAACATCGTTGATTATCAAAAATTAATTATCCCTATTTTGAAATATGAAATAAAAAAGAGTTTAATTAGAATATTATTCACGAAAGAAGTCCCCGGCATAACTTTTATTTCTTTGTAATAAAAGCGAAAGCATTGTGATCTGAGGGACTTCTTTCGTGAGACGAACTTTAATTAGTTTAGTATAAGTCACTCATACATGCAAACCGTCACCGAAAAAAGAACCTTCTTGAACCTTTATACCTTCAATGCAAAACAAAATCAGCAAGCAGTTATTATTGTAATCTCCTTACGGGCAACTTATTAATTTTTGCTCTCAAAAAAACCCATAAAATCGTAACAGTTATTGAAGTAGGTTATCGGTTAACTTTATAGGGTACCAAAGAGCGCTGAAGTCAACAGATTTATTTTTATCTTCCTTGGAAAATGCAAGCAAAGAAAAAACTATTTGTTTGGTTATTCCAGTTAGGAGTGCAACCGATGACATATAGTGAAAATAGTCGAACTTTATATACGAGATCATCTAGCTAGTACATCTAGAGCACGTTAGATGACCCTAAGGATTGTTACACTTATTTTTGTTAATGCAAAGGTATAGTATGAATAAAAAAACCAGAATCATCTTACACAATTTATTTTCATAGAAATACTATTATGTAATTATCAGTAATAGGAGATGGGCCGACTAACCCAGACAGTTCAGGGGTGAGTGACTCGAACTAATGAGGTTGTTTTGGAATAATACCTTGGATTTGTAATTTATTAATGGTTAATTTTTGAACAATAGAAAATTGTTGAGCGCCACCGCTGGTCCAATGCCAACGGACACGGATAAATAATATAGAAAGACTGCACCTTATTAGAGGGTGAGGGCGAAGGTTCAGCCCTACTTTGATAGGTCTCTGCTTGTGGAAACGGGACCAGAAGAGAGGAAAATAAGGAAGTTGTACCACCAACTAGTACCAGGAACTTCTTGTACAGTAACGCCGGAACCAAAAACCTCCTGAAATCAATGTGTAATTGAGTTGATATAATCTTGGCGCTGGAGCCATAGTGTAAGCTGGCCCAGCGGGAAAGAATACGACCTTCATATACCTAATGATGAGTGCCATGCGAGGGCGGAGTGACAGGGGTGCAGTATTAAACTAAAGCCTCTTAACATCATCTGAGTTAATGATAGCGTCTACTCACAACCTACCCTCTTTTCGCTTCGGCGGCAAAAGTTGCTTGTCTATCGGTTTATAACAAAATCGTACATTTTATTCATAAACATCGATGTTTGGCTAGAAAACATAGATGAGCTGATGTTATCGAAGTTAAAGCATCAATGTTTTCTAGTTGAAGATAGATGTTTATTAAAAATCGATGAATATCGATCATCCCTAATACATCACTAATTATGAATGACAATGACATGTGATTTTGTGCGAAAAACAAAATAAACTAAGAAATAAATAAATTTTGCCGCTATTACAATTAGAAGAGAAGTTTCTAATATGTAAGTGTATTTTTGTGTCATTTATAATCACTTAAAATCGATAAATCGACATACATAAATATTCCAATATCTCTAAAATCTTGCATTTACTTGAAGAACCGGCTGTCTGCATGTTTTCTGTTGATAACTTTATTTGTTCTCACAAGAACTTTATATTTTCAACTTAAAAATGAGCTTAAATTTATGGTTAAGTCTCATCTATTTTTAAAGATTATAAAATGATAGAAGTTGACTGAATTAAAATGCATATTAAACTGATAATTGTCTATGATGAAAACGTTAGATCAGCACAGCCCTGCATTAGTCACACTGATTACCCGAAACGTTTATGTTATATTGTTAACCACCATATTTATTTCTCTAGCAGTGATTATTAACAAAGTAATCTTTGTTGGTTACAAGCTTGCTAGCACAACGTTGATATTGAAAAAGTTAATAATGAGTCGTAAATGAAACAAGAACTTGACATCAGCTCCAAAATATTTTGTAAATAGTAAATATAAGAGCAAATTAATTAACATACATATCATACTGCATACCTTTTTCAAAGAAATTATCATACTATTCTACAAAATATTATGATAAACTTTGATATTGCATTCAAAATGCTACATTAATATTTGTTATTGTATTGACAAACATATTGTAAGAAATTAGCTGTCTTAGATAAGAAAGATCATGGTCAGATGGAGGTCAAAATAATATGAGAAAGCAAATTTTTTAAATAAAACTACACTTTGTAATTTACCATTTTTAATTATTCTAAGGTTGAGAGGAGGAAAATGCCTACAGTATTAAGCCTATTCAGAGCCTCTGAGGCTCTAAAGATACATTTGCAAAAAGTACTGTGAGGACCCTACTTAATATATTTGTAGCTGTTCATATCATCAAAATATTTTTTATCAAAAACAGGGGGACTCCTGCACAATAATATCCATTGCATAAATAAACAAATAATAGAAACATACCAGCATCAGCCTGTTTGATGTAGGCCTCTCCAAGGGCACACCATTGAACTTCGGTTACTTTCATCCTGAAGGTGTACTCTATTTCTCCAAAAACAAATAAATAAATAATATAAAAAATAAAAATGTTCTTTATTAACATTATTTCCATCATTTACAACCTTGAAATTATCCCAGTAAGTAATATAAAATACTTGTATTGGGACCATTTCGCTCCAGCTTTGTAGCAAGTACATATTTTAATGTTAACAAGAACCAAAATGAAAATGAATGAGTGAATGAGTTCGTGGGTGAGGTATTGTGTTGTGAATGTGTGTATTGTGTGTTGTGAGTGTATGTATTGTGTTATGTGTTGTGCCTGTGGGTGTGTGTTGTTATCTACATATATATTATATATTTGTATTTGTATGTATATGTATATGTTGCAGCCAAGCGGCACAATTAGCAACCCAGTCAGCCGGCCGACCACGCCACTCGACTGCGACATACACATACACATAGTACTTATTTAGTTAATTCTTTTCAATATGTTCTCAGTTTCCTCATATGTAAGAGTTTTTAAGAATTCTATTAATATATCTTTACATTCATACAACTGTTTATCATATATATTTAGTTTCCTATTTAATTTATTATATAAATAAGCTGATTGACTGTTATATTGACGTTCTGCGAAGGCTGTATGAATCCTAAATGATTTGACCACAACATTACTACGACGCCTATTAAGTTTTTTTGGATCAAAATCTAAAGTTGTGTGTACTTTCAAAATAATCTTTAAGATATACAATTTTCTAATCGTAAGTAAATTACAGTCGCTATAAAGTCTTTCTGTTGCGTATTTATTTTGTTTGGAGTGCATCATTTTAATAAGTAATCTTTGAGACCTTTCAAGTACTAGTAATTTCATTTTAGTAGCTCCTCCCCAGACTGGAATACAATAGGTTATAATCGATTGAACAAGTGCTATGTAAACCTTATTTAAAAGATTTTTTGTCATTATATTTCGAAGTGTTCTAAAAATCCACTTCAATTTTCTGATTCTACAAATAATCATTTCAATATGGCTGTGCCATGATAGTCTATAATCCACAATTACTCCAAGATATTTGGTAGAAACCACTTTATCAATGATAGGACAATCACAGTTCTGGTTCTGTGCATTACCGCAACGATGTATCTTTATTTGAAAATTAGTGGTAGGCTGGGTTCTTTGACTAGGAGTAAAACAAATATATTTAGTCTTGGATGCATTAAGAGTAAGTAGACTTGACTTTAACCAATCAGCTATAACAGCCAAGCCTATACCAGCTGCAGTCTGCACTTCATCCCAACTTTTCTCAGAAAAAACGACCGCTGTGTCATCTGCATAAGAAAATATCCGACTATTGCAATTCTGTAATGTACATAGATCGTTAATATATATAAGAAAGAGCGTAGGGCCGAGTACACTACCTTGCGGGACTCCATAATTAATATTTCCCTCGTCGCTACAATAATCACCGATTTTAACCATTTGTGTCCTCTCACTAAGATAACTTTCGAAGAGAGATAAGGTTATGCCTCTAATACCAATAGTTTCAAGTCTATCTAATAGAATAGGGATAGAAACGCTGTCGAATGCTTTTTTAAGATCTATAAAGACGTAGATAAGTTATCTCTTTTGCCAGCTAACTTGAGAAAATTGCAGACAATTTTTTTTCATTTCAAAGGGCTCTGGCCCTTACCAGCATCAAAATGTCTACATTCAAGTAAGCTTGATACAATCATTTTGAAATGTTGAAAAAATCATTTTGAAATGTTGAAAAAAACATTTTTTTCCCCTACCGCTTGTTCAGGACGTCTTTTAGCTGACAAGAAGGAAGAGCAAAAGAAACTTACCAGCTCTTTATCATAAGTAATGACATTTACATAAATCATGTCATTATCAAAAGAGTATGTATTATAACAATAATAAATACAATTTTCAATTTCTTTTTGTTTTTGCCAGCTACCTTGTGAAGATTATGATCTTCCCATCTAGTCACAGGTGGCGATTGGCTATCTATTATAGAGTGATTAGCCCACCTATTGTCGGTGCTATGGCTAATGTCACATGCCCATTGCCATTTCAACTTGCTGATCTGGTGGGCTACTTTTAGTCTATGATGAATTACATTATTTTGAATTAGATCCTTCAGAGAAATTCCCGGCATAGGCGTGTCCCTAGCTTGCTAAATGGTTTTATTGACAGGTCTCACTGTGATCTTTCATTTCATGTTTCGGTTTCATATGTCATAATGTATAGACTGGTTGAAGATTTTTGTCTTAAGATTTTGTGGGATAAACGACGCAAAGAGTCGACGTAATTTACCAAAAATTGTCCAACCCAGCTGTCTTCTATCCAATCTTCTTCTCGAAGCTGTTTTTACCCAACTGCATTATTTGCCCAAAGTAAACATTATTAAACAACTTCTAGGATACCGCCTTTTCTTAGAAAAAAATAACAAATTTATCCAGTTCAACTTTTTAAACGCTTCAAATTTAGTTCTCCAGAACGGAACATAATACGAACACCGGTTTTACCTAAATAAAGATGTTTATTCTAGTCCATTCAAGTTTTCCATTACGACCTGTATCATCTAAAGCCCTGCTCAACCCTACAGATAAAAACATGTAAATACTTAATTTACTAGCTAATCTCTGTTGTGTATTGTTATATATTTTCCAGAACCTTTCGCATGATCGCTTAATAAATTTCGCCGATAGGTTCCAATTAATTCTTGTCAGTATTTAAGCTTGAATTAATTGTTCGAATACCTAATCAAGTTAACGCCATAAATACATTGCGGCTTCCGCACCTTGACCCAGGTAGGGCGTAACGCAATAGGTCAGGGGGGTGAGACGCGCGCTCGCGGGGCATGTTTGGGCGGGCGTAGTAGCGTAGTGACGTCAGTGGCGCGCAATATCGACCCCTCCGCCCGTCATAACACCCCTCCCCCGCGCGTAGGGCGCAGCCCCTTCAACCATCTGCGCTGCGCATCTACGCATCGCGCCGCCCGGAAGTTTACCGACGCTAATGCGTTAATTGAAAATATTCTGTACTCTCTTTGATGGGATACATCACGTCGACAATCCGCACCCTTCCTCTTAATTATCTCCATTCTCATATTACCTTAGCATATAGGATTCGTTGTTTGTTAACTGTATATTTATACTTATTCTCTAGGAATGGTGTAACATTCCTCTGAAATTTATTAATTTTAAATCAATACATTGATTTTATACCCATTTGAAAATTATTAACTTATACGTCAATGTTTAAAGAGTGTGCAATTATTTATCACAAAGAAAAGTGCATTGAATTCTCCCTCGACTGTTTAGTCTTTGAGACATGAAATACCTACTTAGATGAAATCAAAATAAAATGACTCATGTTTTAGATGGTTCTGTTGCCTACGTTATACGTTAACACAATCAAAATGTCATTTATACTATAAAACACCAATGAAATAAATTATCGTCGCTACGTATCCACATGTCTACAAAATAATCCTGAAATATGAAATTGAACTGAATCTTGTATCCGTGTTTTTTTTTATTTCAGGATTCGTTTTCATTTTTTACTCGCGTATATGTGACTTACTAAAAGAAGACAGATATGGCAGGAACCTTGAATTCTGAACAGCAAATCAAAAAATTTAAAAAGATACCTATCTACGTTGTCGAAGAGCACAATGATGCTTTACAATTTATTTATTCAGCAATAGGAGGGAAAAAATTACCTATAGAAGGGACAACGTTATTACATTTGGACGCTCATCCAGATATGCTTATAGATCGTAAAATGAAGGGAGAACAAGCACGCTCGGGAAGGAAAGTTTTACCATTACTGCAAATAGAAAATTGGATTATGCCAGCTGTAGCCGCTGGCCATTTAGGCCGGGTATTGTGGTTGCACCCTCCTTGGGCGAAACAGTTCACCGATGGCTCCCGTGTCATCCAAATTGGAGATGATGCCACTACGGGATTGTTGCGAGTCGATAATACAGAGCCATATTATCTATCCGATGCCTTATACTCATCTCAACTCACCAATATAATGAAATTTGATTTCACTGTCGCCGAATTGGCATCTGACACGTCTGATCAATCAGAAAGAACTTTTAGAGACCTAGCGAATGATTTAAATATATGTCAACCGTATGTTTTAGATATCGATCTAGATTTTTTTAGCACTGCAAACCCATTTCTATCGTTATATAAAAATATCGACTTGTACAATAAATTAGAACCAGTATTCAGTTCCGATATGCCAGATGATATAAGTGAAGAATCTCTTAAAAAAGCTATAAGGAAGCGAGAGGAGCAGTTAGACGAATTGGAAATTTTATTTCAGCATCTTGAACAGTACAACAGTCTTGAGGGCTATTCTGGACATAAAACTGATTTATACTATAAGGTTTGTTAAAATTATTACCTTTAAAGAATTTTAATCTCATGTCTTATCATTTAGACTACAATTAATAAAGAAAGTTTCAACTAGGTTTATTCTGACTTGAGCTTGATATATATCATGAGAATTCAAGAAAATCATTAACGCATACCCGATATGTGAGTTGATAAGTGCATGTAGATTTTATATATCAAAGGTGGATATATAAAATCCAGACCTCAAAAAAGGTTGTGATCATAACCACCCGAAAACAATCCAAGCGCGAGTCGAGTTACAAGCTCCTAATCAAGATATTGCATTTCTGCAAAGGAGTTAATTACCTAAATAAATGCGACCGTGCGTGATCAAGATTTAGTACAGTAGTATATTCACGTGGGCCGTGAATCGGAGTAGACCGTGGAAATATGACGTCATAACTCTATTAGGGTTGTAGACATGCCATCGTGCTCACAACGATAGATCCGCCTTTGTTACGTAGAAAGTTGTAGGTATATTAACAAGGTGTTATGATCTGTGTAGGTGTCGGACATTGCTTCAGAGGTTTTGGCAGAATCTGAAAGACTAAACGAAGTTCCTGACTGGTGGGCGGTGTTCGCGGGTGGTTGCACCAGGGATCAAGGAGGTCCTCCGCATCATATCAGCTCTCAAGCTGAAATAACTAATGAAATACTTAATGGAGTCCATCCTTTATTAAAAAACCTCCCTCCCCCTGTGTTGATCACGGTGGCTCGATCCACCGACGATGGTTACTGTCCATCAAATCAGGTATTTTCATTTAATATCATGCATTATGAGACAGTTTTATATTCATTGTTAAATATAATTAAAATATACTATATCATCATCACTTTAATGTTCCTATTGCTGAGGCATAGGCGTTTCCTATGTATGGACTTAAATAGGGAGAACAGCTCTGCGATTCTGTAAATTCAAAATGTAAATTCGAATTCACTCAGGTGTCCGGAATCTTGAATTAGCAATAACGTTTTGTGGCACATGTGAAGTGAGTTCGTCTCAGATATTTTATTCGTATGAAGTGAATAAAATATCTGAGACACGTGTGAATCAATCAATATTGTATTGTTTTTTTATTCAAAAAATGAAATTAATATCTTCACTAAATGACGTGAATCCGGGCACATAAGTGAATTCGAATTTATAGAATCGCAGAGCTGTTCTCGAATTCGAATCTGTGGTCGGATATTAACAGTATCGCCCCGCTGGCCAGAAATCACCACGCAGGCCTTGTGCGGATTAGTGGGTGTTAATGGTTTCAAATGCAGCAGGGTCTAACACCCACAGAATAGCTGATTTACCCCCGTGGGAGTTATTATCTTTAGGTTAGGAAACATTGCTATAAACAACTGCGTTTATTAATTACTAGTTAATTATTATTTGTATATTTTCTAATTTAAATATAATTTGCATTAAAATATGCAAGCATTTACTGATCTACATTGTATTATTATAGAGCAGTCACGAGTTTGGATAAGCAAAAACCTGTTTATTTTAACTAGTCTGTATTATATTATTATTATTGTTTATAAATACTGCCGACTTTTTTGTTTCAGGTGGAACTTATACAAAAGTCTGTATTAATGATGCTGCAGGATTTGTATGATACAGATGAACCGTATTTATATTATCTCAATGCAAATACTTTATAAGATTAATCAAATCATATTTTGTTAACTTAAATGGTGTGAATCAGTGACTTTCCAAAACTACAAATTACATAATGACGATTAATAAGTTGCAGTAATTGATTTCTTATATTTTCACGCGTACTATCCATAAATAAAACCGTTTAAAAGTTGGTTCATTTAAGTTGCAGTAAGATAAATAAAGCCGATAGTTAAATCACTAGGCATATAATATATAATCATGTGCCGTAACAATTTTAGAAAAGCGATTTATTACTATAATTAAGTATTGCACAATTTTAGAAAAGCGATTTATTACTATAATTAAGTATTTAAACGTAGGTACCTAGATTTTCCACCAAAACTCTATTCATCGAACTCCTAACACGCACAAATCTTATAAGTATTTGTTGAAGTTTAAATTGGTATATGCGTCTTTTGAATTGAATTAATGAAGTCAATATATTTGTCTGCTCGGGGACTTGGGAAGGTGGCGACTTTATAAGGCAAAGGGTTAAGGTGGCGAGGCATTTGGACAGACGAAGGTCAATTAGCAATATGACTGTACAACGCCCGCGGATGTCCGAATCGAACAGCTTGTAATACCATCATCTGTTGTATGCTAGGCTAAAACGTTTTCCACACGTTTGTAAACCGTCCTTCGAAATAAAGATGACCTTGGTGGAAACTTGGTTTTCGACCGCGCATTGTTTTAAAATATTTTCACAACTGCCCTCTAGATGGTTGGCACTAAGGCAAGATCACCTCGAATGTAATTCAGATTTTCATAAAATTTTTGGGACCGCATCAGAACCATAAACTTTGAATAAAAAAAAAATGGTCTTATAATTTTACGGAAAATTAGGGAGTATACCATGGACATCACTATTTATCGATTGTATTACTATCTATGAGTGAGCTGTTACTGTCACTTTGACATTGACGTTGCAAAAGGTCATGGGTTCGAGTCCTATCTCAGAGTGCCAAGGACAATGTGGAATTTTTCAGCATTCTTCATAAAAACTTCCTTTTTTTTAAATTTAATAATTGAAATAAATACTAGCTGTAAAGTTTGATTGCACCACCAATGAAATGTACACTGATAATTGTAATTCATAAAGTTGTGAGGAGCTATAAAAAAATATTGTACCTATTTACTTATGAAAAATCAATTATATTTTCATCAGTGTCAAAATGGTAGACTCAAAGAATACACTTCTCACCACCACATCCCGTATTTTGGCGATGGCGGCCAAGCCTCAGCAGTTGTTCCCTATCGCCAAAATCATCATTAAATAATGGATTGGAGTATTGTTCTCTTCAGCCAAAGTTGCTAGTTTATGTCGAAAAAGGTGTAAAGAGAAACCAAAAATGTTCCGAATGAGCGTAGTTCTTATTAGCGAAAGTGTTTATGAATTATTTCTTCTCAAGATTTCGTTTACCAGATATCAATTTGTAGTTTAATTTATTAAATCTGTATGCCCGAATATCGCCAAATTGAAATTGATATTGAATTTTATATTTGCGTATTAGGCAATGTAATATAAAAAAATATGGGCCATTGATAGAAACTATATGTACAGAGAACATGATTATTAAAAATTAAGATCGGCATTATCTTATTTTGTTCGTAGCCTGATTATTTGGAATAAAAATGAATAAATACATAATTCATTAAAACCATGTTTTAATTTTACAGAACACTAAATTGATGACATGACGTAGGTATAAAAAATTATAGTCAATCTATACATATATTGAAAAAAAAAAACATTAAAACGTTGCGTTGTAGTTCCCGGATGATTACCATACCGGGGGAAACTATATTTTAGAGATTGATTGGCCATGCATTTCTGTCTATTGAATAACCTATAAGCGACAGCCCTACATGTTTAGGCTATTATCTCGCTCGGATCTCGAGTGCACCTACTTATACCTATATTTGTACTGTGGTAAAACTTGTGTCGGGTTCGATGCTTGGGCGAATTAAAGAAAGGCTTGGGCGAATTAATTTTATATATTCTATTTTAGTCACATATTTTCATAATTATAATATTTTTAAATTAATACGATTTACATGTTCATAACAGAAGATTTTTTTACGAACTGACATTCATAAAGAGTATATTTGATTAGTCATAATTTCAAATTACGAAAGGTGAATAATAAAAAGAAATGATGTGAATATCAAAAACAAAAAGTTTGCATACTGAAACCTAGGACGAAATAAACGGTGGTACGGCACACCGTTACAAACTTACTCATGAGAGTAATGAATTATATGAAGAGAAGATAAGTAGCTAGGTTAAGCCTTAGAAAATTATAGAAAACACTTTTGATGACCTCCGTAGCCGTGGTTCGTACGTCGGTTTTAAGGTGTCACCATATCTGAGGTTTCGGGGCTTAATTCTAGGTCTGGTTAATGTAGATTTTTTTTTTTAATTTTGTTCCTGATCTGGGTGTCTGTATATACGCTTGGAAGTAAAAAGGCGTGTTTTATTAATTACAGTCACGGATGTAACAGATACCTTTGTCGTCTCAGATTCTTTTCATTACGAGGGCATTAGCTACTACTGATCTTTGAATCCGAGCAATGTATGAGTTGTTTAATATTATATGTTTTTTCAAGTTCCATAGAATTAGCATCTGTATTTAATACTGTTAAAAGAATAATAATAATATTTATTATTGCATACTATATACGACATATTATAAAGAAGCCAGAAAAGCGAATAGATAAAAGACGCGACTTATTGCTACATATGACAGACAATCCATGACATGTGTCTGTGTCGGCCGGCTGGCCCGGCATAGGGCTGGATTGCACATGCACGATCGCCCTCTGCGGAGTCCGATCACTTGCCCGGGTCGCCCACACCATCTCTCCAGTCACGTCACCGGCCACTTGCGGCCCTGGTGACCGACGTGACCTCCGTCGTGCTTTGCGGACGCAGGGATGTCGCTAGAGGAGCGAAAACGCGTGTCCTTTGGACGCGTGGGGCGCTCTTTATACGAGTGGTACTGCGCGAATGGGGGACGTTTCCGCGGTCTCACTCAGGAGGGTCCGTGCCCAGTACCCCGGAAAGTGTGTGTATATGAAATGTGTGCATGTGTGTGGGTGTATATGTATGTACGTGTGTGTAAAGTCAGCTGTGTATAGTGTGCTAGAATAGGTATATGTGAATGTGGGTGCTAGCTGTGCTTGTGATCTGTGTACGTGTAAGAGTGTGTATGTGCGAGTGAGTGTGCAGTGGTTTTTGTATGTATGGTTGAGTGGGTACATGATGATGAGTGCGAATGTGTCTTAAGTGCTAGTCGTCACCAGTGGTGGCGTGGCTGCAAATACGGCATGGGGGTGGTGGGACCTCTCTTGCCGGGGGGTGACAGACTTGTTAGCCGCGGAAATGAGGGTGCTGTGAGGGAGGCCTGAGAGGACAGCCTTCCCAAGTAGCACATAAATAATATATTAACTAAAATAAGTACCGATTTATGTCCTAAAGTCATACTAACATTTTTAATCAGCTCTGGTCAAGTTTCGAATCTGTGTAAAGGCATTTATTTTATCTAATAATGCTTAATGCCATATTATGGTTAATAAAAAAAGTATACCAATGTCAAAACTCCTATTTAAGTATTGGGTAATATTAATATAAAGCTGTTATCGTATTTCGGTGATATGAAAAACATTATATATTATATAAGCATTAACGTTATACTATTTAGTGCACTTAGTTGTATTTAGTCATTTTCTAGAAACAAAGGTTTTCTAATGGTCTATGGTTGTATCGATTTAATGCTTATCCTATATACACATTGAATAAAGAACTAGTAAAACTTTAACACCGATTTGTTCTTAAAGTATTCTTTAATCAAGCTCAAGCTCCTTTATCTTCTTAATCTATGCTTTTATAAAACATTAAGCTATATTTTGATCAATATTAAGTTATTTATAGTGATAGAAGTAATAAATAGATCGTAATTATTTTTTATGTGAAATTAAAATGTAAAATTATTTTATGTATTGTATTGTAATGGTGGCATTTTATACGCATCGCTGGCGCCATGGACAAAAAACGTTGGGAAAAACAAAGAAAACAGGTGGATATAAAAGAAAACTGAAAAAAGAGTATTCTAATTTAATTGAAGCTTTTAAAAATCAAAATAAAAATGAAATAATCGTTTGATGATTATAAGCACTATAAGATACTTCTGAAGTGTTAAAATACGGCTGTACCTAAAATGGGAGTGTGTTATACGGTGAATTACGAGCTCTTAGTTTTGTGTCTAACCATAATACGATTAACAGCTCTACTACACTATATTTGAATACCTAATGCTTTAATTTTACGAGTCGCCATTTGCTTTCTTTTTCCAATTCCTACAAAATATTTAAAGTCAACTGTGTCAGATAAAAAGGGGTAAATAATCATTTATTTTGTGCACAGATGCCTATAAAAGCAATTATGTTGTTAAAACAATGCTAAAAAGCCTAAAATTCAACAAAAATTTTTGCTACTAGGTTAAATTTTCTATTATTTTTATTATATTAAAGGAAGTTTGCGAAGGCGCGTGTATTTTACACCATAAACTTGTATATTTTACTCCACAAACTGATGTTTGCAACTTATTTCACACATAACGAGCTGTTTAAATCAATATTAAAAAATACTTAAAAGACCAGCCAAAAGAACATGCCATGACACTTATACAAAACAATAACTTAAACCGATTATATATTTTTAAAATCTATTAAATATACTTTTTTTACAAAGGAAATAAAACAGTAAGCATTTTTATAACATTAAATTAACGTATTATAATTTGATTTACGCATATCAATTGTAATATAGTCACAAAAAGTTCAATTAACACTTTAAGGTGCTAATTGAACTTTTTGTGGCTATTAGAATGCTTTTACCCGACTTTATTAATGCTATTATACAAAAGTTGTAGTGCTATTGCACAGCTTTTATAAAGCTTAAAGTCGTACAAAGGGGGGGCCCAAATTTTACGTATAAGAGTCGTTTAAAAGAAATACGGTTGATATACGATTTTATTATAATGATTAACGCTTGGACTCGTGCTATTATAAGTTTGATATAATGGTGTTTTGTGCTACTTGGGTTTGGACTAGCCCCAGGAAGTCCCAAGTGGGATGCCCGGGCATTACTCTTGACATGAAGGCGAAAAGGGGGTTGGGATCGCGTATTGACACATCCCATCCCTCTATGTACAGGAGGATAGGGCTGATACCCCACCCACGCCCGTGGGATTAACCTGCGGGGTTTTTTTGCCAAAAATATGGTCCACCGTCTGGGAAAAGGCTGTTATACACCCAAGTCTTTTCCTGCCCGTAGAGGGCGTCTCCTCACCACAGACCCAGAGTCACAGCGGAGTGGAAGAAACCCGGCCCTCCTTGAAGGATGCCGGGTCCTTCTCATGCGCGTGAGGTAAACCGTAGCGGGTTTGACCGGGTAGACTC